CAACCTACTAGCGATGGCCTCCAACCTACTAGCGATGGCCTCCACCCTAGTAGTGATGGCCTGTGACCACAAATATAGGCCCTAGAAGATCATGGAATTCTTCGGTGCCAGGCATCGATTGATCTGCAGAGGTGGGTTTTTTCCCCGAGTGAACAGGTGGTCCAGCTGTGATCCTTGTTTCGCTGAACGAACAGGAGACATGTCCTGCAAACGGTTCGTAGGTCCTGCTCAAGCATGCTCCTTCTTGGTTTGCCAACAGTTCCAATGACTCTATGTGGGCACATTGCAGCTAGTCTGTTTCTTGTGCTTATATGGTATATGCGATTAAGTTGGAGTTTGACCTTGGCTTTGTCCATTCAGCCAGGCTATATCGTGGATGGAAGGGACGCGCCGTAGCATACAAGCGCTATTCAGAAGCAATGCAGGAGAACGGGCAATTTGGGGCGCCGTTTCTTATTTTTTTTTCTCTCTCTCTCTCTCTTTTTCTCTCTCTCTCTCTCTATATCTCTATATGTTCTAGCCATCAAGCAGCATTTAAGTTTAGACAGATTGTTGACCTGGTTTTGTAGTGCAAAATCCATCGTAAGCCAAAGGTTCGGTAACGGCTATTAGATCAATGATGATTCGAACGCTAGGGTATGTATGATATTCTTGACATTGCGATGCTGGAGCCACACTGTGACCATCCTACTTTAAGTGAGGGTCTACACGCATTGCACATTGGCGGACGGTAAAAAGCATTCACACCACAAAAGCAGTGAGTTTATAGCCTATGAATTGGTTAGACAAACAATCCGATGCATACATGTTCAATAAACCCTGTTTTCGATCGACTGCTGCGTTGAAGGTTGTAAGAGTCTAGCAAAAATGCTGTTTTTTTTCGAAGACCCAAGCAAGTCTGGTGCACGCAGAGCCAAGCGTTTTGGCCAACAGTTGCTTTTGGAATCTGCCAGGTGAAGCTGGAGTATGAATCTGCCACGGCCATTCAGCGCCTGGACGGAAGTTCGGAAGGTCTCTTTGGACAGAGAATCTCTCATTACAAAGTCATGTTGCCCTGTGACCTGTGCCTGTTCAGCCTTAGCAAGCGCTCTAGAAGAAGAGTGTCCCATCCCATGGATAAGGACCCTGTGGTAAATATCCACAACATGATGGCTAGGGCCTACTAGGGATTTGCAATACTCCAACATGACCAGGTCTGCTTTCAGGGCAAGGATGGCACGCAGGCTTTGGTCCCACACTGTCCAAGAACTTGCGAAGATCAAAAGGGTGAAGACAGGTGAAGCAGACAAAATACACACGCAAGTGTAAGAGGTGTAGGTTGGCCTTGTGCTATGCGGTGCTTGCTGAAATGTCGCAGTGGCACCACTTTTTTTGGTACACCAGTGCAATGGGCAACCAGTTCAATCGCTGGCAAGGCAAGTCGACCTCATGCGAGATGAACGCATGAAGGCCCTTGCTCAGATCCAGACTTGATTGATTTCGAGAGCACGAGCTGCGAGTTTTAATCATGAAGTCTGCCAACAACACCAGCCGCTTTGCAGGAGATGGAAGCGGCTGCGACCTACCTGCGAAAGGCACATGGAACACATCCGTGAAGGTTGAGCCCCGCATGGTTGTCCAAAAGCACGCATCCACATGTTTGATGATCCAACAATCAAGTTCAACAAGCTCAGGGTCGGTGATTACACCGTTGCGACATGTCCAAATGTGCCCTGTGCAGATGTGGCTGGGCATGCAGACCAGAAAGCAATTCTTGAAATTGCAAGAAGACTTCCGCAAAGCCGAAGGCTCTTGGGCTGTTGGGGTCTTGCTCGAGCCATCTTGAGCCCTTTTGGCCTTGGTCGAGTGGTCTTGCCTTTTGCGGTTCACGTCGAGTCGAGACATCACAGCAACAGAGGAATGCGGTTCACCTCACCCATGTTTGCATCCCCAAGCAGCAGATGTCACCAGAGGGGACGCGTCGAAGGTGTCGTCACGTGCGTCCTTCGTGGCTCCAGGAAGCATCGTCACGATGCAGAGATACATTAGAGGTGTGAAGCCCCAGAACCGCCGACCGTGGTGAACTCGTGTGGCAAGAGAGTGTCACCACCGTTTTGGTATCAAGTTTCTTGAGCAACTATTTGTGGCAAATGCACCATTCCGTCCCGCATTTGTTTGGGCCAAGCACCCTTTGCCAACAAAAGATGTCGAGTCGCACCGAAAGATCTTAGACAGCTGGAACTCCAGCCGCGGCCTCGCGTGGCCTCGTGCTGTTTCCTAGGCTGCCTTTGCAGAGGTCGCCTCTGGAGACAGGCCGGCAAACTAACTTCACACCACAGACGACGAACAACTTCCCGACCACAACGAACTAGCTTCACACTACAAGGAACCAGTGAATTTGAAGAATGACATTAACATCGACATTGCAAGAACGCCCAGACAGTTTTTGGGATTCAACGGGATGAATACCGTCCCTGCCGCCATCTTCCTTCTTTTGAGGCAGTGGATCATGAGGAGCAGGTCTGGGCAGTTCGGATCTGAGATTCTATTGTTTCATCACCTTTGAGAGAAGTGAAGGATTCTGTCGCATGAATACAGGAAGGAAGCCTGGAAGTGGATTTCCCTGGCTGGCAAGGCCATTGAGATCCAGCGACACTGGCGAGGCTACAAGGGCCGAGTCCGCTGGGAAAGCATGCTGGAGCAGGCTGGGAGAAGGGTGAGGTCCGGAAAGCAGTGTGTCTCCAACCGATTTTCCAATCTCGAACAATTCCAAAACTGTAGGTATGGCGGCGGGAGATGGCTGCCGCCATGCTACAACGCAACTTGAGAGGCCAGGAGAAGGGATTGTGGCAGGAAACTAGGAGCCATCATGGCTGCCAGTGCTCACCTGTTCCTGGCTAAAAAGATGCTCCCCTGAAGAGGCTGGCTTGCTCGAGCGAAGATCGCTCGGCGGAAGCACCTTCGGCCTGGTTTGAGTCTCTGGGCGTTCAGACATTTTGCCAGTCTTGGCTTGTAATTCACAGACTGCTTTGTTCAATTTCGGGATTTGCAACTTTTACTGGGTCTCTGAGACATCGCGCCAGGCGCCAAGACGCGCGCGCAAGCTTTGAAGCAGCGCGGAAGCGCTTTGTGGGAGCGCAACGAATACAGGCGGAACGAATGCGAGCGTGGAACGCTGTGGAGTCCTCCCCCTGTGGAATGCCTGTGGCCCTTGTAGGCGCGTGCGCGTGGCATGCTGGCCCGGAAGGCATGGTGGGATGTGCGTTTCTGGGTGCCCGTGTTTACCCCCATCGCGGTCAAGATCTCGTATCGAAACCAGTGTGCCATTGGGGGAAGCCATCAAAACTTTGCAAACTAGAGATGAGCAGCATGCTTCTCAATGTTATTGATTCCGCTTTGATGCGTCCAACCAATATACCAGTGGGGTAAGCCATCGAATAGCTATGAATTTGATTGAATTTGAACTCTTTTCTAGAGGTTTCTATAGGCAACCCATAGGTGAAGCCCTTTTGAGAAGGGGGAACTCCAGCAAACCCTATGAGCGAGGAGAAGTCTGATTAGGGTTTTTGAGAAGTCGCTGTTGGTTGTCTGCTGTTGGTTTGCTGCTGGTTGGCTGAGGTGGGATAAAACGGTGTGCCATGGGGATGATGTGGTTTCTAGCCTCCGACGTGGATAAACACGCCCGCTCTTACCGTTCCGTCGATCTCTGCCATGAAGTGGAGGTGGTGCACCCTTTGATAGAACGATCTAGGGCCATCCTCATGTGATTCAGGTGTCTATAAAATCGGGGGTAAGACCCTCGGCTAAATGGACAAGGGCATGTCTTTGGTGTATGGTGTATATGAATGCAAGGCATGAAAGGCATGGGCCCGAACAACAGGCCGTGCACGCAAAGCTTGCTCGTGCCACTCATGCTGCTGTGTGGGGAGTCTTGACCACTGCGCTTCCGAGTGTGATTCTTGCGTTTACAGCAAATCTTGAATGCATTTGACTAAAGTTGAGGTCGCTTGGATGAGAATTCAGAACTCTAGAGTCGGCTGGTTGCTAGTTGTTTCATCCATGTTGGTTCACTTCTTGATGAGGTGGTATACAAGTGTCAAAGTGGTGTATGTGTCCTTTTGTCGAAGACGTCCAGTGTTCTGTTTGCTGAGGCGAATACAAAGTGCACACAGAGGTGGAATGGTTCGCACAAAGATGTGGGAACAGGCGCGTTCGAAGCGCACACCCCGAAAAGGTTTCTTAAGCGGATGGCCACTCCGTGACCGAAAAACATGGACCATGGATGACCATCTTGGGGTCTGAAGCAAATTGTTGCAATCCTGAGCGTGCTGGAGTGTCCAACGTGCTGGAACACTTGCCAATCTGAGAGTCGGTTCCTAGCAAAAGGAAGATCATTTTGAGTAAAAGACAGAATGACGCCCTAGATTTGGAATGTTTTTATTATTTACATATTCCAATCTCCTTGATCCTGGCATTGCTGTCTTGCTTTTGAATACCATGTGCGATTGGTGTGGAATCTCATCCTCCCCGACCCTTCGGATCCCTTCGGCAGATCCGCGTGCAGCGGGTGATCCTCATCCAAGCAGCAGTTCGGGGGAGTGGACCTCAGAGCGAGAGCTGAGAGCTGACAAGGACGCAGAACGTGCCTCTCTGCTTTCGTCGCACTCTTTCACCGAAGTCAAAGAAGCGGTCCTGGCCATTTGCATGAGCTTTCACATCTTCAGTTTATTCCTGGTGAACTTTTGAATTTAAACTTTCACAAGGGCTTCAAACGCTCAGAGTTGATCGTTTAACAGAGCGCTTTGAACTCGGAGCCAAACCAGAGAGTCTTAGAGACGGGCGAACCGAAAAGGCTGGCTCAAGAGGCCCGACAGCCAACGGTGCTTCCCGGCTCAGGGATTGGCTCAACAGGCCTTTTTGTGAACCTGCAGGTTTGAGCAGGAGCAGGTGGTAGTGACAGTCACGATATATCACGAATCAGCACATTCTTTTTTCACCTTAATTAGTCAGCAAGTGTTTGTCAAGCCTCGCCCTGAGCCAATCAAGATACTGGGTGTAGAAGATGTACATCGCTGTTTCACAATGGCCGTCCAAGCTGTTTGTGATGCACCAAGACGCTTGTTTGAGATTGAGGAAGGAGGGGCAACGGTTGAAACGGTTGAAACGCCACCATGCGGAGCGTCGACCGACAAGCATTGTCTAAAGTTAGTCATTCGACTTGCATGAATGAGCCGACCCGATGGTGATGAGTGTGGGCCAATTGGGTCTTAGAAGGTGTGTTGCTGGAGCTGCTGTTGCTGTCCAGTGGCCTTTCCCTGGAGTTGCTTTTTGCTTCTCCTTGTCACTGTAGATAGCTTCGTCCTCCGCTCTATCACAGACCCACTTCCCAGAAACTTCAATTTGTTCAGGGCTTGGAACACTCCATTTATTGCTCTTCGTGTGTTACGGTCGGTTCATCGCCTGGCAGCTTAGATCTTTCTGTGTCCTTGGTTGGCAACACACATGCGCAGAGAGATTTAGTTGTGTGGCTCATGTTTGAGGAATCAAGGCGAACAAGGCCAGCAAAGCGAACGTGTTCCAACGCACTGCTGACATCAGCACCTGCCGTGACTGGCAAAGAGCGATTTGGCTCCTTCATGCGCCATGGCTGTGGAGACTGGCTCGCTTCAATCCTATTTCCCCTCAGTCAATGCCCCTTTGAAGGCCTTTTTTCCACCTTTGGACCATTGGACCTGCCCTTCTCTCAGGCAATGCCCCAAGAGTTTGTGCGCCCGACGGTGGTGAGCTACAACGCCTCGTTGAACGTCATTGCCTTGCAGGCGCATGTTGCAAAGCGTCCAACACGCAACTCAGACAACCCATGACTTTTTGGATTCGGCCGGGTTGGAAGCCGTCTCTTCTTTTCTGCAAAAATACGATAAACGAGATATAAAAGCATATCGCATTTGTTTTCCGACGGAATCCATCGGAAAAGACGCAGCTCAACCGAGCTGCTTGCAGCAAAATCTCGGTGAAGAGCCAGGAAAGCTGGACACGTGCAATACAGCTGTTGGTGGGTGTGCACGACAGTGCTCTTCGCTTGGACTCCATCAGTGACTTGTCTGGAGGATGGAAGAAAGGCACATGAATTCACGAAACTTGCCGCACAGCCACACTTTGTCAACTGAAATACATGACCAAGAAAGGACTCACATCTGGATCGCTTGTAGACCAGGCCACAATGCTGCACTGAAGGGTTACCAGGATAACTGGGGCGCCGCAACAGAGCTTTTGCGATCTCAGCAGGTTGGGTGCTTCTGCTGCCATTTAGGCAGTTCACGCTCGAGAAGATATCCATGGACAAAGGATTCCAAAATGACGTTGGCATCGAATTCGAAACTGAAACTGGGTTGCTGGCTTCGACGAACTGCGTGACTTCGCTTCCAGGTGCAGGCTCTGAAGTCCGACACCATTGCCTACAACGCCCTGCTGAAGACCTACAGTGCAGCAGGTGTGCCCGGTCCAGGGACAGCCGTCGGTCTGACGAAGGGTCAGCCGTAGGGAGCGATGGTGTGGATTGGTCACGGAGGAAGACCGCAAGGCTCTGTAAGCGATACGTATTATTGATATTGTAAGCGATTTTGGCAGGGTGGCCGATGGTGGCAGTACAAATGAAATTTGATGCTTCTTCCGCAGCACTTTCCTTCCTCAAGACCAACACTTACTTGTTACTGTACTTGACGGTTTTGATCGATTTTGCATTCCCTCTACAAAGCAACTTATATATGCAGCAACTGTTGCTGACAATCAGGGCCTCCGAATGTTTGCCCTGCCGTTGGTCTACCGTTTTGGTCAGAAAGTGCCAGGCCTGTGGAAGCTTGCCACAGAAATCCTTGGGAACCTTCAGCGGCTGGGCACTGTGCATGCGATTCAGACGGGGTGCCCAGTGCTATTCTCTCGTTTTCATGCACCCTTAGAATGAACATCTTTTGGGGGCAGCCGTGGGCAGCCAGGCGGCATGGATGTGGTCGGATGTGGGTGTTTTTGATCACCCAGATCATCACACGGAACGCTTCGGCGGCGATGGAGCATTCTGATCCGTGGTCCATGGGTAGTCAAGGCGGACACCCTCAGCCAGCTTTCTAATCGGCTTACCAGTAACGACTCGGTTCGGCCAAATATGTGGTCCAAAACCAACGGAACTCATGGTTCGGTGTCGATTTTATGCTTGGCGCAGCTGAGGCCTGATTTGATCACCTTCAACACCTTGATCAGCTCTTCTTCGAGAGGCCAAGACGCTCGCGTCGGCCCACAGGAAACACGGGTGCTTCTCTTCACACTTTTCGCAGTGGCCTGCTTTTACCGAAGTGGATGGGCTCTCACAGATCCTTCCGATTCAGTCAAGTCCATGAAGTTTCATGTTCCACTTGGTCTTTTGAAGTCCTCTCCAGGTTCTTGGTGGTTTCTGGCCCTCCACCAGTTGCAGAGGGCGAGCTTCTCCGCTGCGGTTACTGCCGAGATGGGCCCTGGCCTCCGTGCAGCAGCGGGTGCTTGCGCACGAGGATAAGACCGGGGTCAAAGGGGGCGTCACCGGTAGAGTAATGAACTGGATGTGACAGTAAGCGGAGTTATTATGGCAGCGGCTAGGAATCAAGATTTGCAAGGTGCGGACACAAAGTAAAGGGTCTGAAGGGTGAAGTAGGAGGTGGGAGGTGCGACGTGCGAACAGTTCCAGCGCATTTGGATTGTTGCAGACCTTGCAGTCTTTTGCGTAGAGCATACCAGCATACCTGATATTTGTCTCAGGAGGTGTTTGGATGAGGGCAAGCTCGCTCGTGGCTCGCATGAAGGACATGCGTTTGCACCACGTTGATGTCCCGACCTTTGTATCAAGAACTGCAATTCGTTGACGGCCAGATACATGCGAAACAAGACCGATTCGGCCTCCTTTGGGTGAAGGTCACTAACTCTGGGCCCCGAACTGGCGCTTCACCAGGAGCTTCATTTGCAGGTGAACCAGCTGGCCATGGGTCATGTGACTGGAAGCGCTGGTAGCACCTGGCGCAGGGCACAATGGATGGCAGAGCAGTTTCATCCAGGCGAACCGGGTTGAGAGCAGCGGAGGGCGCGGTTTTTGTTGGGCTGAATTTGGTGCCCCAAGAGTAACAGTCGGCAAAAGATCGGTAATGGAATAGACATGACTATACACCCCATATACCCACGTTGGATGGACTTTGGTTCTAGTGCTGGTGTCGATCATGGGCAGACCGTGTTTGTCCAGACCTTTCCTTTTCCAATGGTCTAATAGAAAACGCTGTGACTGCGATGTTGGGACATGGCCAGAAAGATTCGGATACGATGTTTCGCAGCCTTCACCACAGAGGTAAACCTTTTTTGGATCCAGATGAAGGTCCGTGCAGTCCAAGTTAAGCGAAGGGAGCGCATTGACAGCTCATGCACGCCAAGATGTTGGGGACTTCATGTCAAGGAAGTTGACATCTCCCGCCTAGGGTTTGAAGATGTTCGAAGGCCCGTCTTCTGCAGGTCGAAAAGAGAACCTGATACTTCACAACTCGGTCGAAAGCTCGGAAGCGAACCGACCGTCCTCGACTCGTTGTAGTCCGACTCGTGTCCCAGCGCGAACGGCCTGTCACCGGGCACAAGGGGTCGTCATTCGGACGGTAGGTATGAGTCGTGACATGTCGTGACACAGGAAGCCAATGAGAGTCGGAGCTTTCGTTTCGAGTCTGCTGACAGCAACGGAGGCATTGCACGAATTCCGTATACTCTTTGCGCAAGGAACCGTGTGGAGATGGGGATGGTTTGCATCTAACTTGTGACGGTACTCGTGTGACTGCAAGACACTTGAGTGTCTCACGTATCGAGACGTACTTCACAAACATTTAGTCAACATCTCTAATTAAGGTCATGAGGAGGAGCCCATGGCAAGCTGCACGATTCGTGCTGACGCGGCTTGCGGCCCCCAACACCATCAGCCGCTGACTCATTTATCCCACCTGTGCGAGGTGTTGCTGGAAGACGCCACTCCTGGACTCCTCCAAAGAAAGAAAAGGTCTAAAGGTAGAAAGTTTGAGTTTCCCTAAGGAATAGCATGAGCTATCCTGCGTCCTAGGTAGTAGCTACTTAGCTACTTAATAGCTAACTGGCTGCCGACCTTGCTCCCTAGCTACTACCTCCTACCTCCCTCTACAGACTACCCCCCCTTTTAAGAATGATAAAGACAAACGAATGGTTTCTGCTCCAATTCTTTTCTCCAAATCTTAGAGTGTTCTTTTTCAGTGTTTCTCTCACTGAGGTTTATGCACAGCTCTCAGAACAGGTGGCCCCTGGCACTTGGCACTGGGATTTTTGGAGCAGATGCTGGTGACCCGGCCTCAAGACCGGCCACGAGGAAGAGCTACATGAGATTGGTGTTTCTGAGTGGCAAAGAACACTGAGGCAACTCCAAGGCTTAGTTGAAGCTCACCACCTAACCAATCCTAACCACATAACTGCAAGAAACTGGAGCCTGTGAAACCTGCACGATATGCAAATATATGATCTTTTTATATCTTTTTCGCCCAGGTATGCAGATTTGCTCACAACCGAATTTGCGCGGGGCTTAGCGGCCAGACCCGGACCACGCCCACACGGCGCCGGCCAGACAACGGACGGCACCTCGGTTTCGGGTCGAAGGGTTCCGTTCTTCCGAGGTTGCAACGCAGCGATAGACATTTGCCGTCAGCATGGACGATGGCAAGAATGTTTGCAGCTGCCTTCTTCTTGGGATGAAGACAGTGACTTGGCAGACACGGATGGTGGCCTGTCAAGTCTCATGGTGCAAGCAAGGCAAGTGCTTTCACTCGAGGCAGCGGGATTTTTGTGAGCCATGCTTTGATCGAAGCTGGGCTTTGGGTTCAAGCCCAAGGACGATGCCATCATCCAATACATCACGATGGATCATGGGGCCCAGTGCATTTGACTGAAAACATCTTGTTTTGGATCATGGGTGGTGACCCCTTTTTCCTTGGTCAATTTGGGCCCTTTTCCCTGGGGGGCCGCAGGACGCCTTTGGCGGCTCCAGCACTTTGGTGTGGTGGCTGCCGGACTTGCTGTGATGGGTTGCCACCAGTGGGACATGGCACACGCGACTTTGAGGACACCACGCGACTTTGATGGCACTGAACGCTGCACCCCCGGCAGGCTTTCAGAATGGGAAGGCTCGCATCCGGGAGGTCATGAGGTCATGAGTTAGAGATCCAGAAGTCCTGTGGCGCCCATGGTGGCAGGAACGCAGTTCCTCTTTTTGTGGATGTGAAACACTTTGGCAGGAGCTGCATTGACGGTCGAATTCAAGCGGACCTGGTGTCTTACAACGCGATTCTTGCTCACCATGGAGATTGGGGAGCGTTGATGGAGTTGCTGAGCCGCTTAGCCAGCCAGAGCCATTGGGGAACTACCATGGACTGATACCTTGGGGCATCCCAGGGCACTTTTCAAGCCTTGTACTGTAGCGTTGTACTGGCATCGGGCATGTTGTGATTGCTTCATTCCGATTCATTCGAGAAAGCATCAGAACGTGCATCCTGAACGTTTGGAACACCAGAAGGTGCATCCTCTGCGCGTTTCTGACGGTTTCGGCCGTTTCGGGCCCTCGTGAGGCGCGATGTGCGCGCGAAGCCTGACGCCTGATGCCGCGAGCTTCCCCAGTGCTATGCTCGGCTGCGAGAAGGTGAGGATGGTGGTTTGTCTGGGAGACAGGTGAGGTCCTTTTTCTCGATTTACTGAGCACCAAAGACAAAGTTTGGCAAACGCCAACAGACCAACTGAGTTGGTTGGTACCAGCAGAATTAGGTCAATTAGGTTGGATATTGCCCCCAAAGAATTAGGGCAACACTTGGATCGGCTTCGCTCATGCATTCAATGGCTTCACTCCAAGCCCATCGGAGGCCTCTGCCTGGCATCATGCCATTCGCTTAGCATCTTCGTCCAACGCACGGGCCGCCAAGTCCGGGTTAAGATGCTGGTGGGCTATATGCTGGTCAATGCCTTACTTATATACTATATATATATATATAAATAGATATAATATGTATATTTAGTTATATACGTTATATAGATACAGACAGAAAGAAACATGACCATTTGCACTGCTTGGTGAAACTTCCGGGTGACAGATGAATGACCACCTTGATCTTCAAAGGTTGCTTCAGCCAAAAGCATGACCCCTTCGGCGGCTCCCCCCACTTCGGCCCAGCGCACTGTTCACCGCAGTTGAGGACTTGGTGACGCAAAATGCGGCCATCGCTGCTGCTGGGAGGGCCTTGGACTGGCGCCTCAATGTGGAAGTTCTGGGGAACATGCCCAGGTCACGGCCCAAGATCTGGCCATGTGGAAGACACCAAGTGAAAGACACAGAACCTGTCAGCGGAGACCATTATGGACACCTTCCAACATGATGAAACACGTGCAACCGGGGAGAATCTTATGCAAGCTGTTGGTGCAACAGCCGCCACTAGCAAATTAGCAAAAACATGCAAAACAGCAAGTACGCCGAAAGATCGTCAATCATCAGCATGCGTGGGTTGCAAACACAGGCTGGCCCGCCTGATAGATTTGTAACTTATGCATCAATACAAAAATATACTCCAAAGATCTCGTAACTTAGGTCTCATGCCTGAGCTTGACCTACATCATGCTTTGAAGCGGTTGCTTCCATTTCTCCCTTTTGCATCCCCATGATGTGATCTCACATCCCCTATTTGCAACACCTGGCCGGAAGGAGCTACTATCGGATTGTGAAGCTGTAGTCATTTGCTCATGGAAGCCGCAACTTTCTGCAGTGCAGAAATCGTACGAACCAATCACGTCACATCCATCCTTTCACTTGTGCAGGTGTGTGTCCAGGCTGATGGGACACTGCTCCAAATCATCCCAGATCTAGATACTGTCACTGTGACGCCAGGCCACTGGCTTGTATTGGTACTGTGATACTGTCATCGTGACGTCTGACGTGCGACATCAGATACGTTGCAGACGTAGAAGGACAACATGACATGGAGTGACTCATAGTGTCATAGTGGAGGAGGCTTGCCATGCAAAATGCAGACTCTTGAGACCTCTTTCTATGGGGATTTCACTAATCAAGCTTCTGCATTCCATGCAGCGCTGTGTAGGACGCGAACGATGGTTGCGTTTCGATTCGTTTCGCCTCATTTTGTCCGATTCATCTCAAAGGATTCGCCTCCAGCCAGACGTGATCTCGTACAATGCAACGATCGATGGATGTGAAAAGTGCTGCAGGTGCCGTGGAGCATTCTTTCCTTCAAACGGCGGCAACTGCAGTCAGATTTTGTTTGATGGTAGCATATTGTGTTTTATGTTTTGTTTTGTTTCTCTTTACTTTTCTAGCAACTTGTGGTGTCGTGCCACTGCCCTTTCTCTAGTGCCGGTTTACTGGTGGGCTGAGAAAGCTGGGATGCTCGTAGCTCTGGGTAGCTGGGTAGCTCCTTCCGTGCCGGTTGACTGGCGGAACAGATCCGAGCTCCGACGGTCGGCGAAAGGATGGTTTTTGGGGTCTCGACTCCTTGACAGGTGGTCAGTGGCCGTACAGTTGCTGGGGGACTTGCAAAGCTCAGCCGATGAGCTCAGCAACTCGGCCGGCGATGAAAGCATCGGTGAAGAAAAGACCAGACCTGAAGTGGTTCAATGGTTCAACCCGCTCACAATTGATGATATTGATGGACATGCATAGTTCCTCATGAACCCACAAGTTTAATTTGCTGGCACAGATTCAGCTGAGGTTTCAAAGTTGCACTTGCTGCTTGTGAGAAAGAGCAGATGTGGCGGCAGCTTTTGAGGGTGCTGGCAGACATGTGTTGGACTTAGTCGACACTGCCCAAACTTGGCTGCTGGCTCTTTCGCTCCGTCCAAGTGACAGTTGATTGGACATGAACTCTGGGCCTCGAATTTGGATGGATTTTGCATGATCATTTCGTTCCGGCAGCCTGAAATGCTCACAGAGACGCAGCGAGTCTTTGTATCAACGAAAGTGGTTCTGGGTCTTTAATACGACATGGTCACATCACCACTTTCAACGACCCAAAGACAGAAACCACATGTCCACGGGACGTATCGAAAGATCCGTGTTTGTTTTTGAACGGTCACAGGCTGAGGTGAGGCCACTGAGGTTTGTTTGGGCCGGGACGGTGACTGTTCTTGGGGGTTCTTCCAGCCGTACCAGGCGCCGGTATCAGCTGCTTCCAAGTGTCAGGGTTGCCCAGCTTTGGCGGGAATCTTCGAAGAACGAGTGCCGGGAATGGATTCACCTCAGGGCTCTCTCGTGGCACCGTCAAAAGATCCCACCTTGCTTTGAACTATCGTCTTCTGAGCTGTTCCGTTCTCTCGACGTTCTTCGTGTTCGCTCCTGTCTTCGTCCTGTCGGGATCTCCAAGGCCTGGACCTACGAGACCAGTGCTGATCTTTGCGAAACTTGCTGGGTGCCTTTGCCACTTCCACACATCCTTGAGGTTGGGGGACGTGACAATGAAAGACGGTTGGAAGACACATAGTTATGGACCAAGCACAAATTCTGTGTCAATTCAGAAGAGGCAGCAACTTCAGGATTATGGGCCAAGCAACATCATAAGTTTCTTTAGAATACGAGTGACCAGAGCGTGCAGAGGCGTTTAAAAAGGCAGGGAGAGTCATGCCCGTGGGATTCCGGCATCGATATTTGATTTGCGCGACAGGAGCTGCATGATCTTGCGCAAGGGGGGCTCCAGCGCGTATCGAAAAAAGATTGAGGTCACTGCACTCGGTGTCTTCCCCACATCCTTGTGGGAAGACACCATGGTGCCATGGGGAAAAAAATCGATTTCACAGCGTAGTTTGGCGGAACTTCGATTTATATTTTGCTCATTGATTTCACAAGCTGCTCATGCCTTCTCTGCAAGAAACACAAGGAATTGTCGTTGGAATGGGAGAGTCTTTGTATGTGCCATGCTAAGGTTCTTGGTTAGGAGACGGATGGCCAGGCTGAGGAAGAAGGCACGGACGGCTACCCAAGGCTTCTTCTCATCTGAATTTCTTCAAACTTGTTCTTTTCTCGATTGATCTCGTGTAAAAACCGTGCAGTGCTTGGAAAAACCCTGGGCCGCCTGGGTTTGGGGCGATCTGCTCTGTGCCGAAAGTTCCAAGCTGTCGCAGCTATGCTGGCAGGTGCTCTTGATCCAGAAGATCTACCGGCGCTGGCTGAGGAGCAGTCCAGCTATGTCCAGCTTGAGAGAATGAGAATGACTGCAATTACTTGTATTGACAATTGAAAGGACAAACAGTTAAAAAGTTGTCATAGTTTTTCTGTGTTGTGAACCTTCCATCAAGCCTCTTTGGTTCATGGACTCTGATCTCCATCCAATTCCTTTCCGATAGGTGACCACACTTTCTGGAGCTATGAGCTGTACAATGGACTTGTGCATGCTAGTACTTAGAGCTGAGGTCATCTACCACGCCCCACGCCCCTTCAGCTCCCCGCGCAAAAAGCTCCCGCAGTCTCCCCAAGATGCGCCGCGTCATCCACCTGCGAACGGCGGTGGTGCGGAAGCAGCAGGCGCGACCGAATCGTGGGGGTCGGTGGGGTCGGTCGAGAAGTTCTCGGGGAGCCAGGCGAAGCTCATCCAGAACTTCTGGCGCCAACACGCGGAGAAAAATCTCGTGAAGAAGATCCGGCAGGCGAAATCAGTTCGAAGAGTAGAGACATGGAGAGCGAGAATGACTGAGACATACTGATACAGATGTTTCAAGTCTCGGCCGTCTTTTCGTCTATGGTATGACCTCTGGATTGCTAGGGAAAGCTGAAGCATTTAGGGCTGAAGCATCGGGAGGTTGATTCAGACTGACTTTGTGGAAACCTTCGCAATTTTTCTCAGTTCCCCCCATGTGTGCAGGGTGAGCGGCCGACATGACCGGGCGCCGGTCTAGAGCCAATTTGGGGTCGTTCAATTTGGGTGAAGACTTGTTGAAGCCGGTTGACAGAGCTGTTCTGACCCAAGGAAGCTGTTTTTTTGTATGTTTTTGTGAGTCAGATACATTTTGTATGATTTTGTTAATCTGCATCCTGTTGTTTGACCCTCTTCTGGCATTCCAAAGCACGTGCTGTGCGAGTGTTTCACCAAGAAAAGGCAGTTGTAGGCTGTACCCTGAAACCAGGGCGCTGTTGGTGCCAAGAAGTTTCCGATTTCAACAGCAGTCCAACATAGTGCAGGTACGTATAGGTATTGGGGTCTATATTATATTGCTTTGTAGTCTACCTGAGTTTACCTGTGCATCACGGCATTTCCTTCCCTTCGTTATACAAGCTGCCTGTTTGAGTCCTTCAAAAGGCATGGAAGGGATGATGAGGTCGGCACACATCTTCGATGAGAAGTACTGACTCAGAGCAGATGTTCAGTCTGAAGACACGGAGGGATTGAGAAGGATCCTGTGGTTGGCTTTTTGGCATCTCACTGCAACTGCCTCACGTAGTTTCCCTCATGCGCAAGCTACGGAGGAAGCTCGAAAATGGTGGATACGCAACAGGTCCGATGAGTGGTTGGTCAGAGATTGTAAGAACTTGGCACAGAGATCTTGTAGTAACAAGTGCATCGCTAGTAGTAACAAGTGCCTTACTAGTAGTAACAAGAAGCTACTAGTAACTAGTAACAAGTGCATCGCTAGTAGTAACAAGTGCCTTACTAGTAGTAACAAGAAGCTACTAGTAACAAGTGCATCGCTAGTAGTAACAAGTGCCTTACTAGTAGTA